CATTCTTCATCTCTGAACCCTAAACCCTAAACCATAAACCTTAAACCATAAGCCCTAACCCTAAGCCCCTAAACCCTCTTGCCACGCATAGAAATTACAGAGCCCTGCGGAGGCCAAGTGCCGAGGCCGCGATGTCGCAGTAAAGCCGGAACCTCGGAAGGGTTTGCCCGGGAGCCTACTTAGGCTCTAGGGTTTAGGCTCTAGTAACGGGTATTGTAGGTGTGTGTGCGTGTATATATATATATATATATGTATGTACGACCTGTATATACACACACATAGAGGGAGAGAGAGCGAAAGAAAGAGAGAGGGAGAGAGAGAGGGAGTGTGTGTGTGTGTGTGTGCGCACCACCCTGAAGCTGAGAGCAGTGCTTGGAGGTTCATGGGTTGCCACAAGTGGGGTTATACGATGCTGTCCTATGAGCTTTAAGTGTCCCGACCCTGGGGCACCCTATGCAAGCCAAACACTCTGAGTCTCTGAGCCCTGAAACCTGGAGCCCACTTCTGCGCCCCAACGCCAGGTACTGCCAGGTTGGCAAGCCATCGGAGGCCGCGCAGGGGAAGCTTGGGGGCACTTCGAAACGTAGGGCCTCTGGGCTTGGGGATTTGCGGGTGCTGAGTTTGGAGCTGAGTCATGTTTAGCGGCATGGGGTCAGAGCTGAAGTTCTATTATTTCAGATAGCTACCTGCTCGCTTGGTGAATTGCAAGGACTAACTTTGCTTGCAACATCACAGTGGTCGTCAAGAAATCGACATTGCAATCTGCTCGGTGGATTTCGGCGACCCGCGTAGATCTAGGAAACTATACAATATATTATTTACAATATGTTTTATGTATATTGCTTATTTCTGCATGTTATATATTGTTGCAAGACAGTGCTGTTTGCCACGGCGTTGGTTTGGGAGCTCGGTCTGTGAAGCAGCACCCAAAAGGTCAAGGGTAACTCCACTGAACATACTTGGAGGTTCATGAGTAGTTATAAGTGGGGTTATAATTAGGGTAACTATAGTTATAACCCATATTAAGGGACTTGTAAGCCTACTTATATTATAACTACCCATGAACCTCCAAGTATGAAGCAGGTTCTTGAACCAGGCAAGACCGGCGATGCCTGCCCGCATATCGTGCAGTCGAGTTTTCAGTACAGGCTTGTTCAAACTTAAACTCCACAAATACAATCGCAACCGACAGTTGGTAAACCGACTAGCACGTAGGACTCAGGAGCATTTGAGCTGCAGATTTCATTGACGCGTTCCAGGCTGCGTATTCCGAACACTTTGTACTATGAGATCGTTTCTCTCTATTCCCGTATAAACTGATTGTTATCGGATTAGGAATGCTCCCAAGTTTGTGTTGCGGTCTCTTCATCTGTTTTGGGCAGGAATCGCGAATCTGAAATCGCCATGTCTCTGAGTTTTCAGGTGTGCTTGCCACTAAGTGGCAGGGCGGTATCAGTGGATGCAGACAGTGAGGAGTCTGTGGAATCCCTGAAACGCCGTGCCCAAAAGGCTCTGGCGGTTGGCAGGGGCCATCTCATGGACTCTTCCGGGGGCGCTCTGGATGGAGCTACTACTCTTACAGATGCCGAGTTGAAGAACGGAGATACCCTCATTTTTCAGGTTGGGCAGGTCCATGTCCGGGGCAATATGGTGGCCTTGGCCGCTGTTCTCGGTGACGGATCTGTTGTGACCTGGGGTTCTGCTTCCTATGGTGGTGACAGCAGTGCTGTGCAGGATCAGCTGAAGAATGTGCAGCAGATCAAAGCCTCTCACAATGCTTTTGCTGCTATTCTCCGCGACGGATCTGTCGTGACCTGGGGTCACAGTTGGAGTGGTGGTGACTGCAGTGCTGTGCAGGCTCAGCTGAAGAACGTGCAGCAGATGCAGGCTTCTAAGGGCGCCTTTGCTGCTATTCTCGCTGACGGCTCCGTCGTTACTTGGGGTGATGCACGTCTGGGTGGCAACAGCAGCGCTGCGCAGGAACAGCTGAAGAATGTTCAGCAAATCCAAGCGTGTGAGTATGCTTTCGCCGCCATTCTTGCCGATGGATCTGTCGTGACCTGGGGCGATAAGTACTATGGCGGTGACAGCAGTTCGGTGCAAGACCAGTTAAAGAACGTGCAACAGATTCATGCGTCTTGTAGCGCGTTTGCCGCCGTTCTTCATGATGGTTCCGTCGTGACCTGGGGTAGTGAGCAGCACGGCGGGGATAGCAGTGCTGTTCAAGATAAGCTGAGAACCGTGCAGCAGATCCATGCCTCCAACTATGCCTTCGCTGCCATTCTTGGCGATGGATCTGTTGTGACTTGGGGCCAAGCTGGCTATGGTGGAGACAGTAGTGCTGTGCGTGATCAACTGAGGAACGTGAAGACTATCCAAGCTTCTGGCTTTGCTTTCGCCGCCATTCTTGGAGATGGTTCTGTAGTGACCTGGGGCACAGCTGGATCTGGCGGTGACAGCAGCGCTGTGCAGGATCAGCTGAAAAATGTTGAGCACATTCAAGGCTCGCAGTATGCTTTTGCTGCTATTCTGGAAGATGGATCTGTCGTGACCTGGGGTGATAGCTGGTGTGGTGGTGACAGTAGTGTTGTGAAGGATGAACTGAAGAACGTGCAACAGATCGAAGCATCTGAGAGTGCCTTTGCCGCCATTCTTGCCAGTGGAGCCATCGTGACCTGGGGCAGTTCGGTAAGTGGGGGCGACAGCAGCTCTGTGCGGGATCAGCTGATGAACATGTGACAATCAGCGACTCTCAACCAAAAAGCAATTTCTTCTTATTCGATATGGTCAGAACCCTACGCCCCTAAACCCTCCCAAATGATAGACCCTAAACCCCAAGCCCCAAAACCCTCTAACCCCCAATGCTTAACCTGCGGTGGGTAGTTCTCTAAATAGAGGCCCCTTTCGGTGCCGCACTATGTTGGGGATGTGAACAGGGACCATAGTTGAGAGAACTACACTTACAGTACCCTTATAGAAAAACCCCATGGATCCCTTCAAAATATGGAACCCGAAAACAAAGACATTAATTGAGAGAACTGCCAGGTGGCTCCTCCAATGTTCCATGGAGGAGGGAAGGCTTAGCAAGCTCCCTATCTTGAACTACCAAAGCCAACCAAGTTTTTGTAGGATCCCTACAATTTCTGTGTTAGGGCTTAGAAGAAGAGCCAGCAGCAAAACGGATTTTATGGTAGTTTAAGGTAAATCCTACACCCTAATCCCTTGACCCCAAACCGCAATCCCTAAACCCTAAACCCTAAACCTTAACATCCAGGAGCCTAGAGCTCCCGAAGCGAGGCCCATTGAATGGCTATTTAGGTTACTATGAGGGTCCCCTATTTTCGGAAACCCCCATCAAAATCCCGCATTACCTTCGGGACCTACGGGAATTAGGGTTTCGGGTTTAGTGTTTAGGGTTATGGGTCATGCAGGATGTATACCATCAACCGTCGTCTACAGCGAACCCCAGACAGTTAAGTTGGAACATGGGTCTTAGGATGGTTTGTGCTAGGACCCCTTACGCTTTACCTGACAGGAGCCCCTTAAAAGGATCCCTCAAACTGAAAGGAGCCCTTCAAGGAATTCTTATAACTTCAGGGTATGAGGCTAAGAATGTATCAACTTTCTGGCTTCTACTCTTTAGTCTTCCAACAAACGCAACTGGAGACTGTGAACCCCTTGGGGTTTAGGGTCTTACGGTCTTACGGTTTAGGGCTCAGGTCTTAGAATCTTAGGATTTAGGGTGTACTTGGACTTGAACCCTAGAAGACCTTTTTAAAAGGGGCTCTCCTTATAGAAGTCTTTACGGAGGTAGGTTACTTAAGGGGCTAAGGTAGGTTTGCACGCAGATGCCGCAGCACGAAGCCTAAGATCTGAGTCGTTCATAAAAGCGCTTTAGCTGATTCTGATTCTTATCGTCTTTATTGTCATTCCTGTTATTGTATGACTTCCCAGTTGGAGGGGCGGTGCAACACTCGTAGCAGAATCAAAGCTGCCCTCAGGGTTCGTAGGGACCTATCGTCTGTGTTTCATAGTATAGCGGAGCCCGTGTAGAAGGACACCCACTAAGATGCCCGAAACCCTATAAAGGATACACCCTAGTTAGTCTTCTGAAGCTCCCACGTCGGGTGTCTCCTCTCCCGGTCTCTCCAAGGCCTCAACCCTTCAGGTAATCCCGACGCCACCACCCAAAGCCCCTCCCAAGTACCCTAAACCCTAAAACCCCTAAACCCCCAAACTCCTAAATCCTAAACCCCAAGTACGCTTTAATAGAGGTAGACCCTCCCGGGCCAGCTTGGGGCAGGTGAAGATGATCGAGGCCTGCCGGTGACTCTCCCCCGTCCCCAGTTGCAAGCGACGGCCCACCACCGGAAAAGCCCTGTCTCCAGAGATTTGAGGGTGGGTCTCTGGTTTAGGGCCCTAAACCCTAAACCCTAAGCGCTAAACCCTAATCCCCAAACCCTAAGCCCTAAACCCTAAGCCCTAAACCCTAAACCCCTAGACCCTATCTGGTTTAGGGTCTGTGGGTCTAGAGCTTGAGCCTTCACACGTCTGCTTAGATCTTGGGGCTTTGAAGCCCAGAGGAAGACCGGAGACCGCTCCTGCTTTACTATAGGGGCCTTAATGATTAGAATAGGGGTTTAGGGGGTTTCCTTCAAAGGGTTCCCCTTTAAAGGGTTCTATAAGGGCCACTATCAGGGTTTAGGGGCATAGGGCCGAAATAATTAGAATAGGGTTCAGGGGCCCATGATACTCTCTAATCAGAATATATTAGAATAAGGAGCCCCTCAACACCCTGTTCTAATTATGTAGGCCCCTACATCAGGTGTAAGAACGATACTGGATTTGCAGAATCTTTGCCTTGTGGAAGCAGCAGCGATGGAAAACTTTTCCAGCTAAACCTGCTCTTAAATCCCCGAAGTTGGCCCTAAACCCTCAAACCGCAACAGGAAGAGATTATTAACCCCCTAAGCGGCCCTAAACCCCCCAAACCCCAACAGGAAGAGATTAGCTATCTCCGGAAGCTGCGCCACCCCCGGCTGGTGTCTTTCCTCGGCTTTGCGAAAGATGCTGGCCAGGCCTCGGACGGTGGGCGACGGCTTAGGTTTAGGGTTTAGGGTTAGTGTTCAGGGTTTCTGTGGTTGAGAATAGCAGCAAAACGTAGCTGCGGCGGTGCTGGGTAGTAAACTAGGTATTGATGTGTGTGATGGCAACCAGAGATACCGACAATGCAGATCTTGATCTTCAGCCATGCAGGTTTTCAGCTTCAGGCCTGCAACTGCCTTCGCAACTGAGTGATAATGTCAATTGCACCTTTCCAACCACATCTTGGGCGCATCCTACCCGACCCTGAGCACCAAGCCAAACGCACCTGAAACAACAGTCACCCTTCGTTCCGAAGCACGTCATCATTGGGTGTCACTGGGCCGTGTTCTGCACGAGGTCATCATCGTCATGGAGTTCATGTCCGGGGGATCTCTGTCCCATATCCTCTTCACCAAGAAGATGACCCTGTCGTCGACTGGCTTCGCAAGGAGGGTTTCGGGTTAGCGGTTTGAGAGTATCTTGGCGACGAGGGGTGGGGAATTTGAGCATTGGGGTCATGCTGTGGTTTGGGCCTGCGGGTTCAGAGTTCGGCGTTAGGGCAGACTGGCTATGAGGCAGTAGACGTTGACCTGGTAAGCTTCCCTTCTGATATTTGTCGGGGACTTCAATCTTGTGGGGGCAGTACTACTACGATGATGGCGGCTACCACTCTGAATAGTCCCTAAGTAATGGTAATCCCGCCGTAGAACTGTCATGACTGCCGATGTACAGCTACCTTTGCTTGCCAGAGCTGCGTGCAAGTATGCTTGCCATTGTCAGTTTCATGATTATCCTATCACACAGCATGTTGTTATGATAATTGCCATCTTTCGGACGCCCAGGTTCGATCGGAAGTGCGTCATGGCCCACCAGATGGCAGAGGGACTTGCCTTCCTCCACGACTTGAGCGTGGTGCCGGATCTGCACAGAACTATTAGATAGATCGCACTTCGTTTGAGCCTGGAGGCTAATTTTTAAGAACAATGTAATAATAACTTTCTAGTTTGCTTGAAAGCCCTCAGCAACATCTTAGAGTGCCGCCAAAAGTTGTGGTTCGGATTGCCTATCCACCAATCCGACTAGCGATCTACACATGCATATACTGTGCATGCCTACATGAACGCAAGCACACACATGTACAGTTATACTGTTAGAAAACCTCTAGATAAATGAACCGTTAAATACGTATGTACAACGGGTACATGAATCTTTTCTGGAGAGGGTGAGAGCGAGAGAGACAGAGACAAACACACACACACACACACACAGAGAGACAGAGAGAGAGAGAGAGACACACACGCACACAAACACAAACAACAACACAAACACGAACACACACACACACACACGTGTCTTGTTTGCTGATGCCTTGTAATATCGGTTTGTTTACGTACGTATTGGTGTATTTGTTTGTATGTGTGCATGTATGGTGGTTTGCTTTCTTGCTTGTTGAAGTTCTAATTTACTCACTCATATTAATATCTTCAGTGAGTTACTCGTTTGGACCACCGTTTGGTCATGTATATTTCTTGGCCGAGTCATTCGTTCCTTCACATTAGGAAATTATGTGTTGTCATGGTTGATTTGTTCGATACTGACCTTTTAACCACGCATGCACATACTAGTCCCGATAGACAGGCCGATAGATCTATAAAGATCGATGGATAGGTATACAGACCGACACATAGATAGGCAAGCAGGTAGATGCAGGTATGCGTGAATGTAACGTGGGGGCCTTAATAATAATTAGAATAGGGTTTTGGGGGTTCCTTACTATGATTATAGTATAATATACCCCCAAACCCTATTCTAATTATTAAGACCCTATTTTATGCATGTATGCTTTCCAAGTCACGGGGCAAAGTCGATGCTGCCATGCAGGTGCACCGAGATCTGAAAACTGCGAATGTGATCCTCGATGATGACTTGCACCTCGGCCTTTAGGGTGGGATCACAGGCTTGGCTCCGGATGTTCGAGTTTGGGGTTGTGAGAGCATTCTGGTCTATTGCTGGCTGTTGTGACTTCCTGATGCATGCACGCAAGCATGTGCTTGCCCAGAGTGCTTGTTAATTACTGCGTACTATTTGGTTGTTGCAATTCTGCGCTGGTGTCGGCATCGGCGTCGGCATCGTCGTCGTGTCGTCGTCGCCGGAATCGTCGTCATAGTTGTCGTCGCTGAGGTAATAATCACTATCAATGATGATAATTGCTGCTGGCTTGTTGTAGAGGCAGGATCTCCGACAGGCTTGCATGGAGGTGTAGAGTTTCAGAGAAGGAGTGAAGGGTATCATGCTTCATCAAGGAGTCAAAAAGAGACCGAACTACATCAACCCGTAAAAGCGACCCTAAACCCTAAACCCCTAAACAATGTTTCTGTTTCGAGGAACTGCAAGATTTGCGATTTCGGCTTGACGATCACCTTGGACCGGACTCACATGACGGACCCTTGCCCTGAGCACAGAAGATCCGACATGAACAGGGCCTGTGGACGGTTTAGGGTTTAGGGCTTAGGGTTTAGGGTTTAGGGTTTAGGGGGCTGTCTCTCCATCTTTGATTGTCTCTCTCTCTCTCTCACTCTCTTTGTCTCTCGCTTTTTCTAGAGAAGTGCGCCTGCATAGACAGACAGACAGATAGACAGGTGCATAGACAGACACACAAACAAACCGGCAGACAGAGAGACAGAGAGAGGCACAGAGAGAGAGAGAGAGAGCGAGAGATCTCACAGCCTGCTACGGTAGCTACATAGATAAATGGATGGATAGATTAGATAGCTATGTAATGCATATATGTACAAAAGGCATGTGCCCTCGCCCCGCAGCCCCAATCTTTTCTCCCCTCCCCCCTCAAAAAGTGAGAGGTAAATGTGCAAACATTTAACAAGCAATAGCAAACAATCCTGGACATAAAACTCTTAAACCCCGTAAGCACAAGCCCTAAACCCACCTCAAAAAGACAAGCCCTACCCTCAAGAAAAAGTGCCTCTCTGTCCACCCCTTTACAAAGCTGTATACACTTGAATCTTCACACCCCCTTTTAAAATTATTAATTGATCCTTAAGGGAGGGTCCTAGGAATCCTCAGGGAGCTTTAGGGAACCTAAGGGAGCCCTAGGGAGAATTGGGGATTATTGGGTTATATACCCCTCTTAGAACCCCCTCCCTTAAGGATCCCATAAATAATTATAAAGCCGGAAGCACCTAAATCCCAGATCCTAAACACCTCAAACCCTAAACCCTAAACCCCTGGCCTAAACCTAAACCTAAACCCCTAAATCCTAGACCCGACCCTAAACACCTAAAGCCCGAAACCCTAAGCCCACTTTCAAGGTCTGGGGTCTTCAGGGGTCGCCACGCTACATGGCTCCCGAGCAGCTCGATGCCAGTGATCACAAGCCGCCTCCTGCCGGATGATCTGGTTTAGGGTTCAGGGTTTAGGGCTCAGGGTTCAGGGTTTAGGGTTCAGGGTTTAGGGTTCAGGGTTTAGGGTTTAGGGTTCAGGGTTTAGGGCTTAGGATTCAGGGTTCAGGGTTTGGGGTTCAGGGTTCAGGGTTTATAGGGTTTAGGGTTTAGGGTTCAGGGTTTAGGGTCTAGGGTGGAGTTGTTTTCAGGGCTCTATGAGGGTTCTAAGGGCTGGAGAAGGTACTTGTAGGTTCGTCCGGGTTCAGTCATTGAAAATTTAGGGGTTGGGACCTTAGCAGCCTGCGTACGCAGCCTGCGTGCTTCTTTAGGCTGTAGACTCATGCAGTTCGGTTCAGGTTTTAGTTGGCATTTCTGGAAAATGATGGAAAATGGATTCCGGTTCATAATTTACTCCCGGCTTAGGATACCAATGAGGATTCAGGGAAGAGACTTCAGTGATCACAAGTTTAGATGTTGGTGTTGCAAAAAAACCGACGGCTGGTTTTTGAAGGCACGACGCAGGGTTTATCCTAGGTAGTATTAGGGAGACCCCTTAAAGGGGGCCCTTCTTAACCCTACTTTTGGCTCTCTTCAAAAGGGACAAGGGTCCCCCTAATCCTAACTCCTAGTTTAGAATCTGGAAGAGCCTAACATCGGCCCGGGCCCAGCACGTGAACCCCAACCCGTACACCCTAAACCCTTAACGACCAAGCGCAGGGGTGCTTCGGGCTTGGGTGCGGGGGCTGTGCGACTCTTTGGGCGCTTTAACTGGATTCGCAGTTTCAGATGGAGCCCTTGGAGGTCGCAACAGGTGTTACACGACGCGTTGCGATGATTGTCGGAAGGTTTGTCCTGGGTTCAGGGTTTCGGGGTTTCTCGGTTCAGCGTGGGGTGTCCTTGCATGCCATTGGATCGGGTAGGTTTCGGGATGACAAGCCTGGGACTCGAGCTGCGGTGATTGCTGAGAGGTCAACGTAAGCCGGTCACTGAAGGTTTCAGGCTTTGACCGCTGAGCATGCAAGGACCAGAATCACAGAGAAAGTGGACATCTGGCAGATGGGATGCGTTCTCATGGAATTGCCTCTTGGACTAACGCGGAAGTTCTTGTTACCATCACGTACCGCGTATTATCAAGAAGCAGCGGAGATGGCTCATAAGACTGCTGTCATAGCTACTACTACGACGACGACAATGTCGACTGTCAATACAACGACGTCTGCGACCACAACAACGCCGACGACGACGACAACTACGACTGCGAATATGCTATGCCTACTCGACGACGACTATTCGACTATCAAATACCACTCGCACTGGCACTAGCACACGGTGACAAGAACACAGCATCACAATGAAACAGTCCCCCGGCCCTTTCTTTTCCATGCCCTTCCGGGAGTGAAAAGCTCTCACTTGCACCTTAGCGCGAACGAAGCAGTCCAAACAAGCTCTGGATTGATTTCCGTAACTTCCACTTCCCCTTCTGCCACCACTGCGACTACGAAGACGACTGCTACTGCTACTGCTACCATTACCACTACCACCACTACTACTACTACTACTACTACTCCTCCTGCTGCTGCTGCTGCTGCTGCTGCTGCTCCTAACACCACTGCAGCTAACGCTATCACTACCTCGGCGACCACCACCACCCCCGAATATTTTGTCATCATGCCAAGACAGCCAACATGACGCGGTCGTTGCTAGTGCAGGCGGCTGAATTCCCGAGGCTGTGTAACGGGGGCCTGGAGGTTCCTAAGCCTTTTCTCTTCTTTTTGGCGCAGTCGTCGTTTCCACCGTAACATCAGCGTTACCCTAAGGGTCCATGTACCCAAATAGTATATACTTTGGCCTTAAAGTAGTCCCGATATAGGTACTTTGGGGCCAAAGTTTCTACTATTTGGGTACATGGACCCTTAGGATTACCAAAGGCAGCATCGCTATCATGACATTTTCATCACCAGACAAGCAGGATCCACCTGCTTAAGCCCAAAACCACCTGTTGCCACGGCCCACGGCTTGAGTCGCTCCAAAAACCACGAAGCGCTGAAACTCGAACCCCGCAGTTCCCGCTAGAACTCAAACGCCAACAGCAACATCACTAAGCCCCAAAACCAAATCCCCCACCCAAAAGCCCTTGATGCAAGAATGAGGATCCCGAAATGCAACGCCTTGTTTGCCAGGTACTGTCACACTCTGCCCTTTGCCAACCTCAGCAGTGTGGCGTCAATCATCACAGAGCTTGTCGCCACTGTGCGAGCATTCATGATGAAGATCTAGTGTTGATGAT